CCTCCCTCTCTTCTTATTGGTTTCAGATATAATTGTTCACTCTGACACATGCCCCAACCATGGGTGTTCATCACCAGAGGCTCTAATGAACGGGGCCTCCCAACCTTAAACCTGAGGCTCCAGAATCTTGAACCCAGATAAACCCCTACTTCACAAGCAAACTGTGTCAGGTACTCCGTTGTAGTAACACAAAGGTGATGAATGCACCACAGTTTTGCCCGAGGAGACCCGAACTCCTAACCAGTAAGCAGAGATAAACAGGGAGGGGAGAGTTTCCAGAAAGGCATCCATAGGGATCCCCAGCTCCTCCCCAGCAGACTGCTACTCTCCTAGGTCCTTTCCTCAGCCTTCCACTTCTCAGTTCCCACACTCAGAACTCTTTGCTCTAGGCAGCCTTCAAAGTGGCCATTATGTTTGGGGATTTGTGGCACAGGGATCCATGACTAACACACTTTCATCTTTGTCCAGAACCAAAGCCCGGTCCTCTATGCCTAAGATACACAACGCAGCCCCTCCAGGCTCTTCACAGAAGCCCTAGGCTGCTCTTTCCTTCACTTGGAGAGCAAGGCATGTCCCCTTCCAGAACCTTCCCGCTGATTCCTCCCCTCAATAGTTCTTGCTGCTTATCTGAGAGATAAGACAACCCCACTGGCCACAGGACTGTGGCCAGGTAGAGGGATAAGCCTACATCTGGCAAGCACGGGAGGAGGTGCACAGAATGATAGGAGGGTCAAAGCAGGGCTTGGAGGATGAGACAAGATCTCAGTAGCTTTGCAAGCAAAGCATGAAACCACTCCATAGACAATAAGTCAGGGCTGGCTACCTGCCCTTCCAGACATCAAGAGGCTGTCTTGAATCCTCAGCAAAGCTCTTAGAGATTTTGAACTGAAGACCATGGGATTGTATTGTCCAGACCAGCCAGACTTTCATGGATACAGTGTATAGTATACTCTAGTAGTAGTTGGGGGAATGGGTGAACAAAAGGATGGTAGATAGAAGCCCCTCCCTGAAGTCACTGATGTTAGGACTCTCAAAGCTGGGAGTCAGTCTGAAGAAAGCACAGCCAGCTAAACTCCTAATTCTGTCCACTGTGGCTC